GTTCCTTGGTCATTGATACTGGTACCGATCAGTGTACTAAGATAAGGACACGTACTTGTTCTTATTTTTTTTTTTTTGTAAGTGTTTTACGGCACTTGCAACACAATAAAGTCACATAAGTGCCGAAATTGTTCTTATTTAGTGCCAGAATTACCGACGACACTTCATCTGTACTCCCCACTAAATTTGTTTGTCCATCTAGAGCCGATTATTAATACAGTTATGACAATGAGCGAAAAAAGACCTATGTTTACAATTCTCCCAATTTTTGGTTCTGTCTTGCTGTGCGCATACGTGTACTCCTCTGTTGGAACAGACACCCAATGGGTTGTTTTTTGGTGTGTTTTTCTTCGTTTTGTTTGGGGTTTTTCGCAACATTTGATGAAGGTATCTTAAAATAAAATTGTAAAATCCATCTTCTTTATATTGCACTCATTAATGACAAAATCACAAGATCAATCCAAATGTAAAGCTGCACCAGACATCCCCATCCAATCTCTCGTTAAGTTGTCTTTTCCATCCTCCTCCCTCGAGTTTAGATCTTCACTAGTCACACCCAGCCTCCCACACGAGTTTTGCTTTTACCTTTTCTACGCAGATTTTGGTTTTGTTCACCTTTTTTATTTTCTGTGTGGCTGCTTATTTACTTCTTGATCATTGCATCCTTGGCTTGGTCGGTTCTTTGATGTGATGTGCTCGTTGTGGCGAAAATAAATGGCTGTATGTGAGTAGTTGGGATCACCAGTGGTACTTCCTACTTCTGTCCCTTCCTTCTGGTGTTCCTGTCTGTCTGTGTGCTTTGCTTTTCCGCTACACTAATAAATGGTCATTATTTTGGCGATGTGCCTCTCGTTAGTCAAACAAACAAACGGCTGTCTACCTGCTTGACTCATGTCCACTGCTACTCTACAGCCTTGCTCATATGGCCGGCTCTGCTTCAGCAGCGTCTATGATGCAATGGTTAAGCTCTTTACCGTACTCACGAAAGGCATGTATTTGGTTTTCCTGGTGAGAAGAGCGGAGAGGGGTGTTTTGGATATATATGTCCTTCTGTCTTCTGAAGTGTACTCCACATTTGTCTTTGCCTTTTCAGGCAAGGTAGGAGTAGCTCTTTTCATTAGCAATATATATGGTTCGACGAGGGCTTAAAACATTTACATCAAATGACTGCGATCGTCCTCTCCTTAATTTTAATAATGCCGGAGCATCCCAGAAAAGGGTCTGAATTATTTTTTTTCCTTCCCCGAATATTTCCTCCCCACTTAACACCTTCGGGACCGGCCCCACACCAGCTGACCCTATTCCCACATCCTTTGTAAATACTCGTTTCGAATACATTTTTTCACTTCTAATCAACTCAAACTCGCTTCAACTTTTGTGAATTCGAAAGGGAAAGATCTCTTCTACACTTGAACAAGCTTTTGAAAACATGGATAATTTTTTATGGACTGGCTTGAATGAGGGGTATTGCCATCGTGTAAATACACGTCGGTGGTCCCCAAGGTGTTAAGAATAGGTGTACATTTGCTGCTTTGAGCCACAATAACTACACTCACACACATACTACTGCACTCACACAAACTAGGGACTTGGCAGGTCGTACTGTAAACTCTGTCAGCACTGTGCTAGACTATTGTGCAGGCGACCCCGATTCGAACCCCTGACAGGGAGTTATCGAGCTGGGTCGATAGGATAGTGCTCTTTGGTCTTCACCCACTTTGTTATATCCTATCGGAGATGAACGTCTAAAGCCAGAGGCCACACGTTTCAAACAACCGGCTTTGACTCAGTGAGCAATGAAAATCATTCTATGCCACACCACATCATCAAACTGACTATCCATAAGTAGACTACTTACGAACGAAGTCGGTAGTGCCGTAAAACACCTACTCAAACAAAACGCAGACGCAAAAGAAAAAAAAAAGAAAGCAAAATGAAAGCAAAATCCAAATGATTACTCAGCACAAGGCACGTGCGGGTTAACAGGTAAAAAGATTTTGATAAAAACGCAGGAATCCTGCCGATTGATCAAAACTGCGGGCGTCGGTGAGATTATGACTTGTGTACTGAGCCGTACCTGGCAGGTGTCGGAAAAGAGATGTATACTTGCACCAACTGAAAGGTAATTGTGCCATTGCGAAAACATTTTGATTCAAGACATCCTTACCTCTTGGACTCTCTAAGAGCTCAAGCACACGAGGAATTAAAAGGGGGTTTCTTGTGGTCTTTTTTCTCCGGGGCGGGGGGGGGCGTGTTGTTAAATCCTTTAAAAGTTTTAAACACGCGTTATTGACCATTGCTATGAGGTTTCGCACAGAAATGTCCGAATTGTCAATAGATTTCATAGAATAACAATGGCTGTAGCTTTAAACAATTGCTTTAGTATTTATGTATACATGTATTTCTTACAAATTTTTAAAAATCTATTGTAGGAGGTAGACACACTCCCGACGACTTATATATCTTTTCAAAGGCATTGAACGTTTTCTCGTCTGCTTGAAATAGTTTACTGTGTGTAGAAGAGCTTCTTCATTGGAATTACCTGTTCTGTCCATGAACCAGAAATAATCTGCAAAAGCAAAAAAAAAAAAAAAAACAGAAGGAAAAGACATTACAACTTCTCTGTACTATTTGTCTGTCGATATCGATCTGAGTTTTCCTCCCACTTTCTATGAAACCCAGGAAGGTCTATCTTTCTGGAGTTTGAAGAAGAAAAGAAGAAGAAGAAGAAGAAGAAGAAGAAGAAGAAGAAGAAGAAGAAGAAGAA